GAAATTCTTAATAACATGTTAACTATTGTTGGAAAGATAATTTGTGGGAGTTCTTGAGCTCACTGGTTGGCATTGTTGAAAAGACAAAAAAGTTTAAAGCCTTTTCCCTGCATACCATCCAATTTTTTATGCAATAAATCATCTAGCAGTAGAGCCAAACTGAAAAATTTCTGCCATTTTATGCACCATGGAAACAAGAAAACTGTCAATCTGCAATAACCTATTCTACATCCATTTGAGATCAATTTTTGCAGTTGGAGTATAGCCAAMAGGATCAGATCTACAACCCATGTTTGTCATGGTAGATTGACATAACTTATTTTTTGCTTCACTCTCAAATATGTACAACTATTAAAACATAAATCAAATTGATGTCAGGGTGCATGTTAAATTGCATTACAGTCTAATAAAGGCTATAAACTTTTCTCCTCATATAATTTCTTACAGCAATGTCAACAGGAGGATAGAAAAATATTCRAAGTGTTCATCTAAAAATTCCACTGTGATAAAACTGCACACTGATTTTTCTGAGTGATCTTGTATATACAGATTTTCTTCTAGAGCTGAAATATTGCTTGAGCCCTATGAAAGCCACTTATTTTTAACAGATCATACTAATTTTATGATTTTTCCCCATGAATTAAACACTGCCACTTTTTAACTTAGAGATAATTTGTCTCATGGACTACTTTAGCCTAAACGTTTATTGTGTTTAATTCAAGATTTTAGTATCTTTCAAATGCTGATGCTCATTTGTGAAAATCTCAAAACTACACTTTAAAATCCTCYGTATATCAAGACCCTTGAAAGAACTCACATGCTTAAGCATCATTTGCATCATGTTACTCCTTTCAGCAGGATTCCCCAAAGTCGTGCACAGCTTAAGTGCTTTTCTTTGTCAGGTTTGAAACTCTCATGTTAATTAAGTGTGCTCCAAGCAGAATTAATGGTTATGATTGCCTACAGTGCTCACAGCAGCTACAAGGCTCTCTCAGCTTTGACTCAAAACTTCATTAAAATAGAATAAGCATCAATAGCACATTTTCAGTATATCTAGCAATGCAAAAGGCAGGCAAAGCCAGGTGAGGTGACGTGCACAGGGAAGGTATAGATGCTACTTCCAGGCATGAGAAGATTCAGCAGGGCAGGTGAGAAAAGCATAATTCTGCTTCTTTTCAAGAAGGTAGTAGCTGAATGTGTAACTAGCTCTCACCAAATGCTGTCTCCAGTATCTCTGACTTCAGCAGCATGCCATGCAACAAACTGGGGCAGACAGACATACATATATGATGGAGCACACTGTAACTGTATTGACATACTAAAATAAGAGTTAAAARTCTTTCCCAAGCTCCACGTGATGGTGTGTCTTCATCCACGGTGGGAAGAGGTTTTGTAAGGCCTGATTACATCCTGCATCTGTAACTCAAACTACCCAGAACAACTRCTAATCATTTACCAGAGAAAACCATCATTGCCAAATAGTTACTCTCCATAGGTCTTCACAGCAGAATCAAGTAACTTTCTGGAGGACACCTGTAATCCAGGACTGTTTACTTGGTTCCATACAAGCATAAATGCAGAAAGCAGAAGCTCAGGCTATTCAATATACTTACTTTTGGAATAAAATTCATTACTTTTARATTGCATTTTAAATATGCACGAAGGATATGGTCTTTGAAAAATTCTAATACCGATCAATTACATAACATTCCATAATGATGCAGGAATACTGAGCATTTTCTCCTTTATGTACTTCCATGCAATTTCTTAAATCCCAGATGGAGAAAAATATGTCTTCCGTCTAGTTTTACTTGAAGCACTACCACACTGACATTTTGCTTTTAGGTTCTAGCAACATCAGTATTGAGATTAGAGGTATTAAAACTTAGAAAATCTGACATGTTATGTCAAATCACAAAGATAGCATCTGAGAGCAAACGGAAGAACAGACAGACTGAATTAAGTAGCAGAAAAGGGGAAAGAAACAGAATGATAGAARATGGGAAGAATTGTACAAAAGTGAAAAAGATTAAACAAATATTCTAGTGTAATCAGATGGGTATGAAGAAAAAACATTAACATTGTTGAAAATACAAGTGTAGGGAYATAAATTCAGGCATAAAATAAGCAGCTACATATAGTATGGGCATGATCCCATTAACACTTTTCACATGCAAGATGTTATTCACAACATTTGCATAAGCTAGAGGGTAATACTCATGTAAGTAACATGTACAAGAGGTAGCAGGATTTCACCGTTCATCGTTTTTCCTAGTGTACATCATGTATATCTGTAAAACATTTAAGCAGGCGTTTCAACTTTGAAGAAGACAGAACTTGAAAATAATAGGACCTAAGGGAAACCTTTCCAGGAAAGCTGGTGGAATTGCAGTTCTACAAAGAACYGAGAAGAATACCCTAAGGACTAATTATTTGACAATACAACTAATGCTATTAGTTTGAAGCACAATAAAGTAAAACCTGCAGCTTAGGTAGATGTGGAATACTTGTTGGAGAGAAGCATAATCGATGCATGAATCCAGAATCAGGAATCTTAATTAACCCTCTAACTGCTATCAGCAGGAAGGCTAATAGTAACTCTGAAGTGGTCTAAGCGACTTAATCCTAGGGGATTGCTTCTGTTAATGAGACACTGAGTGCTGGCTTTCCTCAGCCGTGTAATGAGGCACCTTCACAGGGCAATAAGCAACTGGTTTGCCTAATAACAGGCTGTGATTCTCATGAATGACAGGAGGTGACTYAGACGTCTTGTCCGTGTGACACAAGTTACTGTCCTCATTCTACAAATAAACTAAAGTCCAGTATGTCACTTTCCATGATCCATTGGTAGGGCCAGGGATGGAGTTTATGGGTAAAGGTCATTTAGAATGACAGTACAATTCTCCTCTAGAAGGTGACAACTAATGCTTTACTGGGAAAAGTGTTTTTCAGAATGTTAAAAAACATGAAGTGCAGAAAAACACAGGAGAGTCTGTCTTTAGTAATACAATAATTAAGTATAATATAATATATAATATTAATTATATAATTTATTATATAATATATATATTATAATTAATATATAATTTAGTATAATATAATAATAATTTAATAATTAATTAAATAATTATAATTATAATAAAAATTAACAATTACAAAGTATTTGTACTTTGGACCTACAGAAAAAAAGGTATTAATAGTCTTTAATTGAGCAATTAAAAACCCACGACCTTCTTTCTCCGGGAGTTTCTGGCTGTAGATTGACAAAATGGCACAAAATCTCAATATTATACATATGGGTGCCCAAAATATATGGAGCCAGGCTTCCCAATACTACTTCCCTCATCTCAGATGGTTCAGCAGAATTCTAGGCTGTTATCCCATCACTTCTATCCACCTCTGCCAGCACTGTGCCTCAGCTTCATTTGCAACACCGGMAAGATGCAAAAGATATGCTTCCACAAAACTAAACAAAAATTAAAAACAATATTTAAAAAAAAACCACTTTAAGAACTGTCCTCAAGGAAGCTACAATCAATATCATTGTTATTTTTTGCAAGATATCTATGTTGCAAAGTGAAGCTAGAAATACTTGTACCAAAATCAAATTAGTCATTTAGCATCATCYACAGCAACTATTTATACAAGAATTTTGTAGCATACATTCTTTCCCAAAAAAATATTTCAAAACCCATTGATCACATTGTTTCAAATACAATGTTCAGACTTTGCAAACCATTGCAATACACACAAGTTTACTCAGAGAAAGGACAGATTTCAGAAGTCACAATATTGTGAACTTTACAGAAAATACGTTTTCTTTAAATGATRCTTGAATATCCTTGAAGAAGGAATTACCTTTAGCTATGAAATAGAACTTCTGGCAACASTCCCTGAAGTAGAACACACACTGGCCTTTAAAAATAAGCCACAATGCTATCAGCAGCACAGATTACTTTTTTTCTGGCAGAGAGAACCCAATGCATCCAGAAATGACTGTGAGGGGCCACAACCAGCCAGCAGCAGGTTCACCCATCCCAGCTGCCCCGAGCAGCCACCCCATGCCATGACGGGGGTTGGCCTCACCACCATCCAGCCTGGATGCACCCTGTGCGGGGGTATCACCACCGTAAGGCTGCCAACACCACCAGGCAGTCAGTGGCATCCCGTGTGGCMGGGAGTGCTGGAGAGCAGCCTCTCGCCCTGAGCTGGAGGCAGCAGTGTGGCCACCCTGAATGGGATGGGGAATCAGGGGATGTATTTTTGTGTGTGTGTGTAAATACGCACGTGACCTTGCTTTCATATATACGTACATACATACATATATATATATATATATATATGCACACATGTGCATGCACAGATATATGCATATACCTATGAAAAAACACAAAATGAGCTGAATTGGAAAGGATGACAAGGATCATCAAGTCCAGCTCCTGGCCCTGCAGAAAATCATATCATGTGCCTGACAGCACTGTCCTAATGCTCCTGAATCTGTCACGTTTGGTGTTGTGACCACTTCCCCTGGGGACCCTGTTCCAATGCCCCGCCACCCTCTGGGTGAAGAACCTTTTCCTCATACCCAATCTAAACCTCCCCTGACTCACCTTCATGTCACTGCCTCAGGTCTTGTCACTGGTCACTGCGGAGATCAAATCAGTGTCTGCCCCCTCCACTTCCCCTCATGAGGACGCTGAAGACCGCAATATACACACACATACACACGCACGTGTATCTACATACGCATGTGTGTGTATGTATATAGAGATACGTATTTGTGTACATGTATACGTATATGTTTGTGTCTGTGTCCCTCAGCGCGTGTCCGCGGGCCACCCCGACACCACYCCCGGCCAAGGCTGCCCGCGGAGCCGCCGCCTCTCCCGCCGCCGGCAGCCTGAGGCGGGCAGGCCGCACTCGGTGGTGCCCGGCCCCGAGCCCGGCCCCTGGCCCGTCCGCACACCTCTCCGGGCGGGGAGCCMCGGCCCCGGCCTTACCCTCGGCCGTCTCCGCACTCTCCGCCATGGCCGCAGCGCCGCGCTGTCACCATGGCGACGCGGGCCTGCTCGGGCCTCTCCTCGCACCCCGGGGTGCCGGGCGTCGCTCCCCGCTGTGCCAGAGAGGCGGAAAACGGGTCCCTTGTACGGCCCACACTGCACCCCACTGCCATTCCAAGCAGGAATCGAGTGAACCCCTTAAACCTGCCGCCTCCAGGCAGGAATCGAGTGAACCCCTTAAACCTGCCGCTTCCAGGCAGGAATCGAGTGAACCCCTTAAACCTGCCGCTTCCAGGCAGGAATCGAGTGAACCCCTTAAACCTGCCGCTTCCGAGGACTCCATTTCTCTCAAAAATACAGTTTTCTCAGCGAAGATGTCCATGTGTCTGAGCTTTGGAAAGTGAAAGAACATTTTATTCTAAATACCATCACGCCGAACCAGCTAAAATATTCTGTCTTGGTGATATTAGATAAAACTGTGTAGTTTAAATTTAGCTGCGTGTTTTAGCAGACAGGCTTGCAATGCCTGGTTCTTCTGACTCTAAAACAACTGTGAAAGTAGGAAAAAACACAACTATTAATATTCTGACAAGACGCAATCATATATTCCTAGAAAATAAATATTTATGAAATTCCTAGAACTAAAACCCTCTCCTTACCACAGCAGGTGTTAGGTTGTCAGATGTTCAATTTCGCAAAGCTCGTGTGGATGACTCCTCCTCACACACTCGTTTCCACCTTTCAAACAGTTAATGATGTTCTCAATATTCATGGAAGCCTGAAATTAAAAAAAAAAAAAAAAAAAAAAAAAAAAAAAAAAAAAAAAAAAAAAAAACAACAAAAAAAAAAACCCAAAAAAAAACCAAAAAACCCATTGGGCCCAAATAGGGCTTCTTTGCTTTAAAAGAAATCACTTTCAAGTAACATTTCAACATTTGCTATTTGCCTTTCAGCCACTTATTTTTGCATTTTTTATTGAACATGGTCCAGAGTAAAGAGGGTATAATAGATACCCAAAAGTATACATCTTTATTCTGTTGGGAAAATAGCTGATCATGCTCTCTAACAAAGCTGATCCCTCTGAAAGGTTATCTAAGTAATTAAAGATTTCAAACTACATGTTTTACTACAGGAGGAGTAMAGATTTGTTTCCTCTTAAATTGCTCACAGGAATTTTGGTGAGAACAGCATGGCAGACAAATTTAGAGGATGCAGTAGCTGAAGGAAAGGCCTTTATCTTTTAGTCTTACAGGGGTYCTATTTCTTATTCCCTTAACCCCTCCACACAGAAAGCTTGTCTTTCCTCATCATAGGTCTATGGTGGTGGGTCATCACATGTTTGAAGCTGGACAAAACTGTGAAAAGCATTGTTTTGGCAAGGATGGAGCTTTCTTATATCCTCCCTCCCCTACCCCAAATGAGGAATTTCATGTTCTTGAATATTGTGCCCAGCATTAGRTTTCTTGTATTTTTTTTCTAGATAATTCAGCATAGGATACTTACAGCTCTTCTACAAATGCTAAACTATTTCAAAGTGTTTACTACATATCCCTAAAAAAGCTTAATAAAATCCTGTTCTAGTTATTTAGTTTTCCATGACAAATTCATGCCCAAAAGATGAATAACTCTTAGTTTTAAAATAAATACAAATATTGCATATTGTGCATATTTATTGAGATTATTGTGTGTTTATAGTGGAATTGAATTAAAGTGAATGAACTGCAACTGTGACATGTTAACTGTGACAGTAACTCCACCTGGGCATCCACCTTTRACATTTTCCCAGCAATTTCTCCAGGGCTTGCACTTGGCTTTCCTCATAACCATCTGACAGATGCTTATCTGTTTCCTCCAAGAGGGATGGTAACAAAAGCAGTGTGTAAAAGCTGATGAAGAAAGGGGAAATAGTGAAGTACCCACAGCTATGACGCATCATTTACACTACAACATCTACATCCCGTGGTAGATGCCGTCTCTGGCCCTTATGAACTGCTACAATAGATCATTGGGGAAAGTGTTGTTCTGAATATATAAAGGCCTTGTTCAAATCCTGAATGTTTATATCAAACTTGTTAAGTTTGATAYTTTTAGCCTAGCTGCAGAATCTTCAGCGACTTAAAGCTCATACAAATTTCAACAAACAGCATTTTGCACTGTCCTGCCTGTGTTGTTGAGATTCCATTCAGGACAATTACTGTAAATCAAAGTGCTTCATTTGCATTGTCTGCTCCAGCCTGGAGTTGCCTTTTGCTTGTGGTAGCTTGCAGCCAAGTGTCAGCACCTGTTTCTCCTTATTCTTCCAATTCCTGACACACAGGGCTTTGGTGTCTTGCCTGTCTGCCAGAGCAGAACAAAATACAGAATGAGAAAGCACTTCAAAATGAGATCTCACTGCTTTAACATTTCCTGGYAGCATATCTTGAAAAATCTGTGTAGGGAAAAAGAATGTTAACAATTATAATGCAGATCAGATATTGGACCTGAACCACATAGCTGTTTCCCTTCTAACTTAATGCACAGATATCTCAAACCAAGGGTATGAGTGGGCTGAAACAACTAATCACATTTTGGCACAGACAAGTACAAAAGGAAACCCAGAACTACTAATTCAACAGCTTGAAATATCAGCTGCTGTATGCAAGATATTTACAGAACTCCTCTGAAGAGAACATACCCTTTTATAATTGTGATTTTTCATTTTAAAAATGTCAGAATATATCTCAGGAAAATTATGGAAGAATCCAGCATTATTGATATAAAGCATGAATCCACTGAAGTTTCAAAGACATAAGGCTCCCTTACCTCCACTCCTAATTTCATCACATACATTGCTCTCAGCTATAAGGGTCCAATCACACATTTTGCATATTTTCTGTGCATATGTTCAGAAATGTTATTCAGCAATTAAAAAACAGGTCTAAAATGGGAGAAGTGATGTAAGAGATAGAGCAATTCAGGGAGGTATAATAACATCCTACAAAGCTGTGTCCTCCCCTGGCTTCAGGGCTGCAAGCATCTTGACACATCTTTGCTCTGAGCATTTGCCAAAGACCTTCACTACAGGACTCCCTCTGTGGGTCCTTGGGGACCATATAACTGAAGGCACAAAGAAATCATTTGTCCTTCACAGAGAAAGTAGATTGATAGCTATGATTCTGTAACAGAACTGTACCTATAGCTCCTCTGCAGCTAAATGGTTACAGCTGTGCTGTTGGGGATTTGTTTCCATGTCACTGTACCCTTTTTCACCTATGTGACATGAATGACCCAAGTGTACCTTCATTCCACTCTTCCTCTGGGATGAGCAGCTGAGTTCAATGACTCAGAAACGGACTCTTCAAAACAGAGTATATTCTAAACATTAGCTGTTCACCCAAATGATACACAGCAACCAGATAAAAATGAGAAAAAGACTCCATCATTCCTTGTCTATGCTGTATCTTTCCCTACAGAATTTAGGTAAATTACACTGAGAGCAGCTACCGCGTTCCTTGCTGTGTGGGAGGGAAGACAGCTTCTCCTCTGGCTTGTTCTCTTTGTAACTGCAGGCTTTGATCCTGTGCTTGAACTAGATGAAGAGAACATAACAGAGGGGGCAGAGACAGACATATAGGGATGCCCTCCCTTATTTCCTCTACCAGTGACCTCTTTCAGGCTGCTGGTATATTTATATTACRTTATCTGTCATAATTTTGCTTTCTTTGAAAGTAAAGGTCTTCCTGTTCTCAGCTACAGAACAGCAAAAAGTACATGAATTAAATAGCAAACCTAGAAGCCCAAAATCTGATCTCTTAAATAAAATGTCAGCATATGATTCCTTGATACCTGGAGTTCACCGGTGCTAAAAGGATCCAAGTCTTGCCCTCCCTTCCCTACTGCACATCTTCCTTCTACCTTGTGCGGGCTCTGCCATTCACTGAGAGTAGATATGAGTCACAGAGGTAGTAAAAATACAATCCATCAAAAAGTGAATAGTATTCTGCCCTATTAAGAAATTTAGAAAGGGATCTGACAAGCATCTCAATCAGCAGATCCAGGAAGTTGGACCATGCAATTAGAAGAGAGGAAGAAATAAAGAGGAAGGCAGGAMGGGAGAGATGTTCTTTTAGAGGGAAAAGCCTCAGTGGCTATCTGTAAGTAAAATGCAGCATCTCAAAACCTTCTCAGTCCACGGGACAGCTTTGGAACTGTCCTGCAAATATATGTTACTGCTCATGTACAGCTATGATCCTATGGATCTTTAGCTCCTCCTGTCCAGCTTCAACAAAGCCGCATTTGAGGAGAAGTGACTGAACATACATTAAAAATGAGTTGCTAGGAAAAATGAAGCATTTCTTTACTGCAGCAATATTCTTCAGTGTCAGGAAGCTCCCGGCAATGCTCAGCCTCTGGGACTATGCCTAAAGAGCTCCAGTGGAAAAAATGGTCTTTCTTTTATATGTAAGTACCAGGATGTTGTTCCCCATCCCACCCAGGCACAGAAATGACCCTAGAGATCCATCTATTTTAACCTTCAGATTTTATTACCATTAATTATATCTGGAAATGAAGCCAGGATCCCCAAGAACRCGGTAGCAGGAACAAAACACAATCATCCATCTGCCTAGCAACATGGGTTGCCATGAGTACTTCTGCCCGTGCTCCAGAGGCAGCGGGGGCTTGCCACTGAATGGTGAGCCAAGCTCAAAGGCCCCRTACTGGTAAAGAAAGCCTGCTTCCTCAAATGAAGACCTTGCATTCCATCCCCAAGACTTTTCTCTGGAGCCTAGAAACAGTCAGCCAGCAGCYTGAAATTTGGAAATGGGGGACTTCTGGAGTACTGACAAGATGTCAGTGGAATTTCTCTCGCAAGAGGCAAAAGCAATGATGTTGGGAAACATCAGTGCCATCAAAACTCCATTCTTCCCTTCTCTGTTCTTTTGAGAAAGTTCTTTGCATGTCTCAATACCATGCCAGAAAAATCCCCAATAACATACTATCAAATCACTGAATTTTCACACTTAGAAGAAAAGAAGAAAAACCTGTGAGTGGTACTGAAGACATGGAAATACTCTATAAC